ACCGGCGCTGTACAGGAATGTGGCGTTCGTTGACTGGAAGGATCGTGGAGAGCAAAGGGGATTACAGTGGACAACAGCAGCGGTAACGGTCGTAAAGGCGGATAAAGGGAAAAGTACAAGGTCAAGTCGTAACGGCACTTTCTTTGTTCATGTCATTGTTCTGAAAGGCGAAGTGGCAATACACGTGCAAACAACACGTTCCGCGGACACAATTCTCATCGGCCCGATTATCCGGGATTATCCGTCCCTTGGCGACAATCCACTCTCCCTGTCAATCCAGTACTCGCCCATGACATTTGTCTAGCTCTGTTAGCACGGACTACCTAGCTTCGACAAAATTTTATCCTTTGTCCCAACAACCGCCAGATGAACTCTGAAAGCGCGCTCTTCCTTGATCTGATGTGGGGCGATTGAAATCCAACTTCTCATCCAATCATTCTCGATAATCAATGTTCATAGCGCTTTAGGCGTATAAGCTTTTGGATGCAATTTCATGTCATGGCGACGGAAGTGTGGCGTCGAAACTTTGTCAGGATATTCAGTCAGATTCTTTTGTATTACTACATATCTATTCAACGAGATTGATTCACTTGGGCAGAGCATCACGAAGCTGATTAAGAAAATATTCCATATTGCCGTTCAATTTGAGATTTTCAATCGTTTGCTGAACTGCTAAAGAAAATTCTAAGGCCGCTGAGAACTACATATCAAGGAAAAGACATACTTGGCGCTTGCGGTGTCTCTTTCTTGAGTGAAGGGGTACTCCTTTTGGATGTCGATACTCTATCATCTTCAGACGAAGCGACCGAAAGTCTGCTGCCACGAGGACGCCTAACAAAGCTGCACGTTGAATTGGGTCGCGCCGCATGGCAACGCAGGCAGCGCACACCCACAACGCCAGGTGGCACAGCGCAAACGTCTTCCGTTCGCTGGCAACTATAACACGCTTTACTACCCGTCATTGCCTGCAAGTACTTAGTATTTGAAGCTACCGCAGGGGCCGAAAAACGTTCTTCTCACCTGAAGTTCTCCATCTTTCAGACCATCTGCCCACAATTTCATTAGAAGAGATTTCTTCTGGTTCCATCTGCTGTCTCTGTACATTGCAAACTTTTCGAATAGCTCTTGAGGCCATCCTACGCACGATCCTGTTCCTACACGGAAATTCGGTCTGCGTTTTGATTCCAGGGAAAATGTACGACTTACGACGGGCGGTTCTAGCCGTACGGCGTCTCTTTGCGAGAGGCACGTCCTCATCGACAGAAACGTCTTCCTCGCAGTCAGACTCGACGACCGATTTATTTCTTTTCGGTCGTGAGCTTCCTATAACAGGTCCAACGATAATGTCCGACTCAATGTTATCGTGCTTCTCGACTAGGTCGCCTTCGGTCGAAGGAAAACTGGGATTGGCTCCCAGTCCTTCGCTGGTGAGGGAAATGATGGCGAATGAAGTAGTAACGACTTACCGCTCAACCTTTTGAGCTCTACGTCAAGAAGGCGTGTGATCAAGGACTTCACAGTCGGGTACCGCGCGCTGGTGGCGTTTTGCTTTATAAGAGCTTCAATCCGGACAATTTCATCCTGAGAGCGGAAAGTATCGCTGTCGATATTGATGCCAAAACATTCTGCAGCGGCCTAGGAAAGAGTTGGGTTAAAAGCGCATGCAAAGGGGATGAAGGAGCTTACAAGAATTTCGGACGCCTTCGAGAGTGTGTTATCGACTGTATCTCGCGCGGCTAGCAAATCCCAGAGGGCTCTGCGGGTCTTTTCTGTGATGGCTGCTTGCATATCCATAATTGAGACGAGTAAGGATGGATACGTCAGCCTAAGCGTCTCTTTTATCAGACCTCACAACGAGAGCAAAAGGTTCCGTTATCCTGGCTCGTGTAAACGCCATAAAATGAGAAGGATCTTCGGTCCAGCTTCGATCTGCGGAGAGATACTTGGAATGGAAGGACTACAATTCAACGAGAAAGATCAGACAAATCTAGAACTGGTCACATACAAGCTTTAATCATCTCTGATACGCAACGTGTATCCATCCATTACGGATTGTACATTGGCGCGCATTGTCAATCGGCGATAACTTGTGGGTGTACTACTAGCGTGAAAAAGGATTTGCCACCATTGTCCGTCGATTCCACGTATCCAGTATCATCTAAATTCTGAAATGGGGATTCTGAGGAGACATGTTATGATTTGAAGAAGGCTGGAGGTCGTAGTACATCGTCAAGCTAAGGCGGGCCATCGGTCCGGAGCAAGTAAACAATTTCTAAGGGTCATGTTTTGCTCATTGACATGAACACCGATGTTGACGTTCTTCGCCGTCAGCTTGACGAGAAATCATAAAGAGAGGATCATACAGGTAATGTACCCCACTTTATTGAAGATATGTATATCTCATGAGGATCCGTGTACGTAGAACGTGGACTTGAGTAAGGATTTCATACGCCGGAATCGCGACCTTGTGCTGCTTCACGCGAAACACCCAATTCTTCTGCGCCGATTAAGACTGAACCACCCTCCCCGCGCTCGTCTTCCTCTCGTTCGCCATTAATACCCATCCATCTACAACAATAACTCGCGTGCGTCCTAACTCGTCAAGGATTCTAGTTTCCGAAACCCTATCTAGGTCTGTCTCTCAGACGATGTCAAACCTATGATTCGAAAGCGGAACCTCGTCCCGCATGTCGAAATATCGACGCGCCCTCGCTCAGGGTATGTGCGGGACGTCTCCAATGGCGATATCTTGGGAGCAGGACCTCGCCAGAGGCCTCGTCGTAAGGTGGGCACCTCTTCTTTTTGTCACCCTTCCTACTCATTCCTACTCAACAATCGTAGGCTGCGGCAAATCACAAGTATCTCAAACGCGAAACGCCGATCCCAGAATTGAATGCACCTAAGATCAATCCAGTACACGCACCTAGGATTAAACATGAACCGAACGTCGACGAAGATCGTAAGCCAAAGGTGCTGCGATCGTTGTGTGTAATGTTAATGACTCTGACGATCCTTTAACGCGCAGAAGAAAGACGAACAGTCTATCATTATACCTCCGGATTTCATCGAATCTCGCTTACGTGGAGTTCCTGCTCTTGCTGTTCCCAAATTCCTATGCAAAGTTCGACGAGGCTTTATGACAAGGACATACGGCTGGGTCCCTCAAGGGTTCTATGGATACATTGCTCCCCATAAGATCCGACCGGCGTTGCGGGGGCTAAGCGATGCTTGCATTCCCGTCTCCGAAATACAACCCGGCAGTGCCCACAGGACCTGGGAAACCTGGACTCATCTTCTCTGTACAACACAAAATGTTGGATCACATTGCTTCTTTGTTTGTGAAGGAGGACACGGCGGTACCGGTGTGGAAGTATTATGGCCAGTATAAGAGTGGCGTCTGTGGGAAGATGGAGAAAAAGCTATGGATGATGCAACCGGTAGACGTGAGTGGCCGGCTACTCGTCGTTATATTCAGACTGTTATGTAGCTTAGGACATCGTGGGCGGGCAAGACCCTCAAGCAGAGATTGTCATGTTATTCATCCATGCATGCCAGGATAAAGCTACGTAAAGCCGCACGGGCTGTCACTGACGACGCTGTTTTCGCCCTCATGGAAACGAAGAAAGGTCATCATGGCTTGACCGTTTCTGATGTTTTGGATGCTTTGGATAAAGGCGAAGAGGTATGAGGTTGACTACCTGGTCGGACACAATTACTGATTATCGTAGTCTCTGGATATCATTCGGATGGAATGTGTTGGCTACGACGAGCCATTTCTCCGTCATGTTTACGCACGGAGTAAGCATTGGGATCCTGACGATCCGTTTTCTGGCGCGCTGACAGACGGCGAATTGTCGTCCGAGGAAGAAGATAGTATGAGCGACGATGAACTGTGACCGGCGAAAGCTGAGGTCAGATCTATCACTCTGCCTGTCTAAACGCAAAATTAAAATAGTTGTGCAGCTTCGCGAGTTTTATGCCTAGGTCGCGTTCTCCTTGTCAACGTTAAACGTCCTTTGTAGGTGCGTTTTCTTCCCAGTACGCTCTTCTCATATTCATGGCAACGAGGAGGACCTTGTGTGCAGCGCTGCATGAACAGCGTCCGACTTGATTGATCGTGTGGTTTGATGTTAGAATAGGCAACTTCCATTACACCGGGCCTAGATGCTAGTTATATATTTCCCTTTCCCTTGTGTGTCCTAACGCACACACCCTCGTTATGACCCCGAGCGCCAGCCTCGAAAGCCTTTTGTACTCATCAAAGTCTGGCAGAGATGTCGCTATAGCTTCTGCTTTGATTGGCCTGGTCTTCGCTCTGGCGTTGGTCCCTCTTGTTCTTATGCCTGCAATGTGGCCGGGCAACGTTCTCTCAGCCACAAAAGCTCGCATCGAGGAAGTCGAGGCGTACCTGCATGATGGGGCTATTGGTTCGCCTGGGGTGTTCCAGGACCTAGATGAGTATGCGCGTCCTTCTTGGTTATTATTACACACTAGAAATTCATGTTGCTATCATTGACAGTCTTCGTGCTCGCGCTGAGCGGCTCTGCGGGGAGTATCATGCTATGCGCTACGACGGCATTTGGGGTATGGTCATGGCATCGCGTCGCTGCTGGGCCGACCTGGAGAGTCTTGTCGAGAAAGAAGTAGTGCGTCCGTTTGGTTTTCTGTCTTTATCCGGCTAACTTCTGACAAGATCATCCGAAACTCTACTCTTAAGTGGTCAAGTTTACCGCTTCGTTGATTATCGATTCCTAGTTAATAGAATTTTGGTCTCAGTAATATCATGAGGTATCGACTGGACGTACGCGTATTACATCTTATGCAAAGCACACGTTCAAAAATGTCTTAGGCAATACGCTGGCTCAGACAAGGACGAGTATTTGTCAATGAATGTGGCGCACCGTAGTACTGAGTTAAATCGGTCGATCGGAGTAGGACGTCGGTTCGCCGTAAAAACTTGTAATCAGTAAAATTAAATATTAAGGTTTCATAGATTGGACAGGCACTACCAGGGATCGAACCTGGGTTGTGGGAAGGACGATACATCAGAATCCCACGTGCTACCGCTACACCATAGCGCCGTGTACGCTAATTGACAGCCCTATTTTCTGCGGCAAATGCCGTGTCGATCTTTGCTTTCAACCATCAACGAGGTTGCTGAAGTTTTCCCTGCGAGTCTCGATTTTCTCACCGCCAATCTCATGCGACTGTCTCTGCCGATCTCAACTGCTGGTCAGAGATAACGACAATGCAACAAGCTTTGACTAGGCCTTGAATCCGCGACGTTCAGAAGACCCATCGACTGCCTTGACCTCGGATCCACGACGTTTCGCCCGAATATGACTTTCGGCCTCTCAGGTGGGGTCACTGCGCTTCAGAAATTATGCGCATGTCTAGTTAATTCGACTTCTTGCATGTTTCCGGGTAAGTATGTGTTGTCCCATGACACCACCTCGGGTTTACTTGGGACGGGCGCTTGAGTTTTTGATGTCGATTCGTGGACAGGCGTAACGGAAGCACCACCATTCAATCGTGTTATCTTCTGTGGGAGCTGAACGCTCGATTTTAATTGAGCGGGAAAACTGCCTGACGTGGTAGCCTGGAAACGGTAAGATTTTTGGAGTTCTGACTTTTTCACGTTTTACGCTGATACTATAGAATCGCTCCCCAATATCCTTTGAGTAGCCTCTCTGATCCTCCTGCAATCCTTCGACAATGGTGTGTGTCTGAGCTCGAGAGCTGTTTTCTTGACTGTTCCTAGCTAGATCGCGGAGTTTGATTGCCGTCTCATGACACTAGGTCTCCAAACCATACGGGCGCTTATGATGTACTTGGTGAGATTCATTAAGCCCTAATGTAAATGGTCGAACTAATCGTGCTTAGTGGCTTTGCGAATTTGTTCCAACTCTTCATTCTTCCATACCCCATAGCTATATGTGTTATACAACGCTTACCGTGGCGTTTAGGATACCTCTCGTCTGTCATGATGAGATCAGAACACCACATCAGATTACCGGTGCTGGCAGATCCGGACGTCAACACTGAACGCCACACTCTTCTGGAAACCTGATCTCGAATTTTTCATGTTCGTCCGTCATTCTATGTGGCCTTCCGTCTACGCAATTTTCTTATCCTACCTTCTGCTGTTCGGATTTATGGCTGTATGAGAAGACGTTTGCCTTCTAGTTGATTTGTTCTCGACAACTTGTAGACGTGCCAGGGATTGTGGACGTATGAGACCATTGGCGGGACATCCTCTCATTATCTGAGGTGAGCTACTCATCGTGCTGTCTTGGTCGCGCCCGGTATGCTGCACCAGTATCATCGATACACGACTGATTGTATTGCGCATTGCACATGAGGACATATCTAATCTAGGACGACAGCACTCTGGAGATAGCGCCCTGTACCATCATTTTTCAGCGCTTATGCTTACAGTGCGCTTCCCACCCGACCTGGATTTTCTGAACCGTCAAATCACTAATGCTCTCCGTTTGAAGAATTTGGAAGAAGAACATCAAGGAGAGCGTCACACTCACCGTGCCCGTGTAATCTTCTTCAATCCGAAGATTTTACATTCTGTCAGTTCGATCTATCTTGCTGTCCTGATATCGGGATGAGGACATGCCACGTGCCGTGTTGGGGTCACTGCTGTTGTTCGGGAACCATGGAATAACCGCCCAAGACCCAGTCAACGCAACACGCAAGTCTTAATTTCTGGGCAACAAGGTCGTTTCATGTACTCGGAGTGAAGAGCCTGCGTGCGGTATTGACTAGAGTACGATTATTTTCATGGATGGAGAACAGAAGTATACACACCTGCAACGTGTTGCGCGCCTGTGAGGAGTCTTTGATGTGGGCGTGAACTTGTTACTGTTTTTGCTGTTTCCATGAAACGAGGCAGGATAGGCTGTCGAAAGTCCTCATGTACTGCGCATCTCTCTGAAGCACGTCCGCCTTCCTGGTCATAAAAGCGTACAAGCGGGGGATTCTTCGGCTGCCTTGGTACTCACGTAGCGGTATGTCGGAGGGAGATTGTTTTCGGCGATCGTCAGCGCCACATCACGGAAAACATCAACCCCGTCCCGCTGATGATAACGAAGCGCCGAACGTCCTTTCGTAAGTCTTATTCTGTTTATCTCCAAGCGTTACTCAGTCCCACAGTCTGTCATCTAGTTGGTGCCTTTCTCACACAGGCGCTGTTGAGGACCGGACCATTTTCTATGCCGACGACCGCTTCTTTGATGAGCTCTTAAATGGTACGTAGACCCAGAAAGTAGAAAATCTCCCTCTCCGTACTGACCAGGTCATGCAGACCCCGCCAGTGCTATACCAAATGGCGCCACTCAGGCGGCAGTCAGTGATGAATACCTGCATTCAGATTCTGAACGTCTGGCCTCGCCTTGGTTAGAGAGCGGTGGCGGTCAGGACTTCGCGCCCCCACCATCCTTCCCAGCTGTTCATGACGCGCCTTCTTTCCCCGGCGAATACATGCGCGACAGCAGTAGTCAAACGAACGCAGAGGCCAACGAATTTCCTGTACAATATGTCGTCTTCCAGCCGTCTGCGTCGGCCACTTCGTCGAGAGCGAATGTTCAGGTATCGTTTCCGCCGGTGATCATTGAAGGCGACTAAAAAGGTCTAAGTAGAGCTTCCCATCACACTTGAGGATGCCTGCGGCGCAGGCGCGCGCCAGTTTCACGAACACGACGAATCCGATTCACGACGACGGTGTATCCCACCAGCACGACAATTCACAGCCGCCGTTCGATCTATGGCAAGACTATCGAGCCCTTTCAGGCGCTCCGCCGGCGGATACTATCCATTTTGCGCAGTTCCCGAACGCCAATGATCAGTCCTCTCAATATTCAAAGGCCCAGGAGTTTCGCGACTCAAGGCTTCGCAACCGAAGCAAGCCCTACATGCGGAAAACTAAAGGAAGTCCTGAAAATGGTGCCAAGTACAGCTGTCCTGAATGTCCATGCGATTTCACCGCAAGCCCGAATCTCCAGAGTGAGTTCTTGTTTCCGTCTCCCGCATGCGATTTGACGAATGCAAATCTGCTTTTCAGGACACATCCTGACTTACCACCATGGTTGGGTCATCACCTGCCCTGTAGATCAGTGCAAAGGGATCTACAATCATGAGCCCTCTTTGAAGCGACACATTCGTGGAAACCATGGCACTGTCATCGAGCGCTTGATGGAGGAACTCTTTCAGCAGATGCCCACCAATAGGCCATCAATTCCTGTTTCGAATAACGATACAGCGTGTTAGCGACTGACTAAGCCACGAGACTCAACCAGGTACCACAGCAAGAAACTAAGGAAGAAAGCGTTCGCGTTCGTAAGACTAGGCTAGGCCAGGTGTATAAACGAGATCGGAACTAAAGTACAATGATACTACACTACTGCTTATATACTAGTAAGTCTGTGTTTGAGACTCCTTGTCCATACGCGTTTCTACTAGGGATGCTCCACGCCCTTGACCCAGTGTTGTATGCTACTAGTCCGTGAAACCATTAAATACGAGTGGTATCTGCATGTAAGTAATAATACTGAAACGACCATGTGTGCTACGAGTGTCGGCGGTGTGTATACAATAGGGAGTCCATGAGGTATCGGCATGTATGATGTCATCCATGTGTTGGGTGTGTGTCCGACATGAGTACGGCTTCGGTAATGAAAAGGAGTATGATCGGTGACGAAACAGATGATGAAACAGTCCGTTGGTTGATAAGACAAGGCCCCCGATAAGATATGATAAGATGTGAAAGTGTGAAAATATGGTCATTCATAACATCACCCCCTCCTTAAGGCGCAAGTTCCATTCTGCGCCAGATTTGCTCCATGAGAGCCGCAGAGGGTAACGTGACATCAATAGGTTCGGTGTCAGGCGGTGGCATGGGTCGGAATAGGTGTGATGGAAATTGCGACATGGGGACTTCGATGCGAGCAAGCGCAGGTGGCTTCGGCTTTTTCGGGTACTGCTGGTGAAAATCGCGAATGGCTTCGTCGGCATTCTTGAGATTGCATGCCGGTTCCCATGTCTGTTCGTGTGTGCCATAACCCTTCCAGTGGACCTTGTATTGAAAACCCCCGCGGTACTTCCGGGAATTCACCACTTTCTCAACCTCCCATTCCGGTTCGCTTCCTTCCAGCACAGGTGGTGGACGCGTGTCTCGGGGTTGCGTCGGAAATTGCGGCTCGTGGTAAGGCGTCAACAGAGCCTCATTGAACACGGGATGAATGCTTTTCCACGTGTGAGGAATCTGGAGCTTGTAAGAGCTCGTCCCGACTTTCTTGATCACTTTGAACGGCCCGAAGCGTTTGTCATCGAGCTTCTTCATTGGTCGGTCCGTGCTGAGATTCGTCCCCTCTAGCCATACCTTGTCGCCTTCCTTGTACTCTACTGCCTCTGTCCGCTTCCTGTCATAAAACCGTTTCATGTCTTCTTTTGCCATCTTCAATGCTGACCCCACTTCGTCCCATGTCTTCCTCATGCCGTCGGCAAACTCCTGCGCAGTCTCATTTCTCGATGTCGTTTTCGGAGCGGTGCCTTTGTAGGGATGTCTGCCCATGTCTGCGAAGAACGGAGTGACTTTGGTCGCCAAGTGAACTCGATCGTTGTAAACAAATTCAGCAGAGGGTAACCATTCGTGCCAGTCGTTCTGATGATAATTGACGAATAGCCGTAAGAAATGTTCTATCTCTTGGTTCAGCCGTTCCGTCTGCCCATTTGCCTGTGGATGGTACGCCGTCGTGAAGTTCCCTTCAATGCCCAACAGCCGGTATAACTCCTTCATGAAACGCGAGTGGTATTGCGGACCTCGATTGTGTATCATCTGTCGCGGCAATCCATGTATGGGGAAGATTCGATCGCGGTAAATACGAGCCATGCCTTCTGACGTCAGGGTGGTGTGTGTTGGTATAATGCGTAACCGCTTTGTGAAATGGTCCACAAACGTGCTGATCGCATTGTATCCTCCCGACTCTGGCAACTCGCCGATCATGTCCGTCCCAACTTTCTCCCATGGTTCGCTTGGTACGTCTATAGGATGGAGGGGTGCAGCCGGTTTTGT